AAACACCCCTTCAAAATCCCAGTCTTCTAGCTTCTCACTTTCCCGAGTTAGCAACTTACCCGGAAGGAACTTTCAAGGGCCCCTTACATAGGTACCACACTTACCAGCGGGCAGGGTTTGAACTCGTTAATACCTATCTGGACGGGGAACATTGCCCTATGATTTCAACGTTTTAGCTTCTCAGATCCCCGAGTTATGAATTTGCCCGAAGAAATGTTGGCGGGCCCGCACGCGGGTACCACGCTTAACCGGCAGATGGGTTTGAATGCATTAATATCTAGTTGGACGGGGAACATTATCCTAACATTTCAGCGTTTTAGCTTTTCAGATCTCCGAGTTATGAACTTACCCGAGAAAAATTTTGACGGACCCGTACGCGGGCACCACGTTTACCCGGGGGATGAGTTTCAGTGCTTTAACACCTGCTTGGACGGGGAACACCCCTCTTAGATTTCAGCGTTCTAGCTTCTCAGATCTCCGAGTTATGAACTTATCTCAAAAAAACTTTGGCGGGCCCGTACACGGGTACCACGCGGGTGTTGGCGCCCATTTTGAGATTGGGGTCGGCACGTGCATGTGGATTAAGTCCCCGAAATTCCAGCCCCGCAGCTTTTATAGGTCTTGGGGTGAAAGTGCGTGACAGACGCACACACAGACACGCAGACACACGGGCACACAGACAACCCCTCGTCAATATGCGTTTTTGCATTGCACAGCTGCAAAAAACGCATAAAAAATGATAGTGTTGTGGTAGTAAGTCTATATACATTTTGTCTGAATAGAAGCGGCGGCGTTTCTACTTACGTATTGTGAATATCGGCTTTTAGAGATTTGCTTGGCGGTCACGGGCGAACAGAAACGCAGCACCACAGTGTCGCTCGTTTGTTCAATGCTGATGCAGTTCTGCCTGCTCGGGAACACTTCGAAATGCTGTCGTGAGTTTTAAATGCCCCCTTCATCCCGGATGGTGCTCGTTGGCTGTTGGTAACAAACTTGCTGTGTGTTGATTCATTTTTCAAAGTAAACGCACGTCGATTTTGCGTCGCTTTGCGTTGTGGAGCAGTTACATCAACAACTTGCACGGCAGCATCAACCATATTGGCGCGGGATGGCCTAGGACTTGGTGCTTGGCTTTTGGTATTGCTGTGGGGTATTTTTTCACTGCGTGCTGAAAACACATGTGGATTGCACTTGGATGAAGTTATAGCGACGACCTGTACACCAACATCGACTGTATTGGCTCGAAGAGGCCTGGAGCTCGGTTCTTCGCTCTTGGCATCAAAATTGCTGTATGATACCTCACTGCGTAAAGGAAAGGCAAGTGGACTTTCCAGTGAACTGCATTTGGTAAAAGTTGCAGCAGTTGCTTGTACAGCAGCATCAGCCACATTGGTACGGGGCGGACTGAGGTCCAGTTCCGCATCTTCAGCAATTGTAGTCGGAACGCACGGCTTGTGCAGTATTGAGTTCGCTCGGGGAGGAAGGAGCGGCATCGTGGCCATGTAACGTGGTCGCGCCAACGTCAGATTCTCGATTTGCTCACTGATCTTGTCTTCCTCATTTTTCAGGCCAAATTTAGGTCCTTGATTTTCACAGCTTTTTTGTTTCTGCTCATCGATTCTGCTCAGATCGTTGACAGCTGGTGCACTTAATCGGACGTTTCGTGATTTCTGCTTTTGGCGTGGTACCTCTAGTTTTGGGTACAGTTTATAGTTCCTCTTTACTATTGGTGTTAGCATAATAGCCAGGAAGATAGAAATTCTTTTCGCTTCTTGAAATGCTTAAATTAAGCGATCGTAAAATCGACTTGACTTTTGCTACCTGAAAATGTAGCAACTGATGTTGCTGGATTCTGTAGAATCTATAAAATTCACGATGCTGAAATGAGCAGATTTATTCACTTGTGGAAAAACATCATTATGTGGATTTTATACTAGCCCCCAAGGTTTTCATTGAGTTATTCGGACACAAAGAAACACGGGCACACGGACACAAACACACACACACATATGTACACATACATATATGCACCGACACATACAAACAGGTACACGTATATCAACAAACACAGTGCCACACACACATAGGTTAAAAACATATACATGAACAATGACACACACACACACACACACACACACACAC